CCCCTCTGCCGTGTGTTGTTCTTGCCAGAGACAGGAAATAAGATCAGATTTTTTCCTGCAAATACTCTGGCTGTTTTCTGTTTTTTGTAGTTGTGTAGTTTTGCCCTACAGATTGGGTATTTTTTTTGTCAAGTTGGAGAGCTAAATTATATCTTGACCTATAATTACAAGAGCACGTGGTGTGTGTGTGTGCGTGTGTGTGTGTATGGAGTCTAATGTACATCTGGGGTAACCCCCTGGGGTAGACTGTGGCCATGTAAGCTCCTTTAGTAGGAGATAACTCCGTGAGTAGATTAGTAGGGGGTTTGAGGCCGGTTATACCCTGTGTCCTGTCAGTGTGCCCGATGGTCACTCACACTGTGGATCAAAACCGCTAAATCCCTGCTAGATCCAGGCTATACTGTCAAAGAGTGATACTCAGACCCAGACCCCCGAGAACACACACAAACACACAATGAAATATACTGAGCAACATATATATAAACACATCCAGACACATCCTCATGTAGGGCTACTGTATATACACACAATTAGTTAATTATTCTGATTATTGTCAACAATTACTGTGACAGGTAAAGAAAGGATTTCTTTCAGAGTTTGCTTTGAGGATATCAAATATATGATGCTACTACTTCCACGGCAAAATTAATTCTTTAGTATGGTGAGCTGTGAATATGCAGGAATTGTTAGTTTTTTGTCAGTGCTGCATGTCTGCAAAACGCAAATATAAAGAGAACAGAAAATAAAATGTAATATATCTGGCAAATAATCCTCTTTAACTCTCACTTAGGCATTCTGTTCACTAATATTAACCAAGGTCTAAATGTAGGATTTTGTGGTCAGTATACTGTTTCTTCACCCGATGCATTTCTTTTGTGAATGTCCTGTTGTAAATCTGAATGACAGTATGTACTTCCGGGAAGAAGTCAAGTGGTTGAAACAGTGTAGATATGGTTATTGAGATATGGTTAACTTAATAATAAAACCATTGTTGAAGTTATGGCTCATTCTGAAACAACAATACAGTGTAACTGAATCTTTCCAGGATTACTGTACAGTAAAGAGTTTGTTAGGAGATGAAATTAGTTCAAGCAAAGAATTATACTCAAATTGAACTGTTGAGTTGAAAAACTGGATTTGCACTATATATGAGTCAAAGGTTAGAGTAGGATATAATGACTTGAAATTGAGCCGCACCACGATTCAATTGCATTTTAACCTTTGGATAACTTTTGAGTTTCGAGTTTCCCTTTGCAATTGACTGTTTTGCTAAATCCCTCACCAGTGATAGTCCAATCATAGCTTAGCAACCATAACTAGGCATGACAGGTCTGTCAAGTTCTGGAATTCTCCACATAATGAAGCAGTGTGCATGGGGCTTAGTCAACATTTAAAGAGTTTGGTGGAGAGTGGTGTCTATTTTAAAGCTTTTCCAAAACCAAAAACACATGAGCAAAAGTGTAAGAAATGGATACAAGTATTAGGTATTTGGCTATAAATAAATACACTCATTTAATCAGTAAGAAGTTGTCTGTGTGTTGTCTTTGAAGAAGAAAGACAAAAGAATTCAACTCCTTCTGAAGAGACTGTTTAAATTAATGATTGTTTTAAAAGTTTTAATTACTTCGGTTTGTTTTCCCTGTATTTCCCTATAAAGGTTAATACTCCATATCTGAGTATGCAAGCTTGATGGTTGACAACAAGTTGAGAAAATATCTGGCTTGGAGAAATGTTAGTGATATGAGACCCAATGAAAGATTGATGAAAGGGAGCAATGGGGTGTCCATTGCTCACTTGCAACACTGTTAAGCACAGTGTCCTTTCCAGCAAATTGGAGCGCGGCATGAGAGCCAGAGGAGAGTCGGTGGGCTGGGTTTAGTAGCCTGTCGTGATTGGGTAATGGCCCTAATGTTTCATGCAGTGCTTATCCTTCCTCCCAGATGGATGAGGATGAGGTGATGGTGGTGGGGGGTAAGTATGTTCCCAAGGGGACTGGAGAAGAGGAAGAAAACACTCTGAGACTGACTTTAACCTGAGGTGAGGTAAGAGGGATAGAAGGAGATGGAGCACAGAGACAGCCAGTCCTCACCAGAAAAACGCCTGTATAGGTTGATTATGCAGCATCTTATTACGACCCATATTTACATTTTTTGTTAGGCCGTGACTTCTAGTGGTGGAAGAAGTCAGGGGACGTAGCATAAAGAGCAATGAAGTTGACGTAAGGAAGTGGTGGGGTTGGATGGATGTGTCATGTTTCACTGGTGACTTATGTAACTTACATAATGTACTAATTTTTAACCCAAACCCTGATCTTTTCCTAAACCTAACTAAGTACTTTTGTTGCCTAAAACTAACCAAATTACTGTTTCACAACATTTACCATGTCATGTGACTTAAATCACGTGACTTACTTAACTTACTTAAGGTCTGGTACGCCTGTCGCTGGCCTGCTCCCGGCTAATGCTTGTATGGTCATATATGTTGTTGTACTTTCCAATGGACCTATATTTCAGTTTGAAAAAAAAAAATATATATATATATATATATCATTTTGGGTCAATTGACAACTGATCTGTTTTATCGTTTAGGTATGAGGACGAATTGGGAAATCATGTCGGTGTGCAAATGGGGAAGCACTGACCATTCCTTTTATGATAACTAAATCCAAAACCTGCTCTTAATGTGTCAAAATCTGTAAACAAGGGTCAAAGTGGAGCCTATATTGATTCTGTCATTTAAATCTGACCATAATTTAACTACCTAATTTTAGGTTTTGAAAAAGACTTGCCCAAATATTGACTGAAATGACAGACCACAATAATACTTGAAATATCCCCTTTAACAGTAAGAATTATTCTGCAGTCAGGCCAGCCATAAGTAGACTCCTACTGAGCCCCAGTTGAAAGTGGATTTGTGTGATTGCCTGTGTACACAGCCAAGACATTCAACTAGTACTCACAGGCAGAGAATTAGCACCACTGGAGAATTGTCTTGTAATTTGTTCCAGAGTTAGGTGCCAAAAACTTGCGCCTCTCTCAGGCCTAAGTCAATCTTTTGCTGTCAATTTGTTCCCTCACTTAAGAGTGTATTACAGAACATTGATAGGAAAACAGGGGTAAGGAAGAGGAGCAAAATAAAGATGTGCCGGTGCATCTACTGTAAAAAGGGCTCAAAGAATCGTGTGTGTGTGTGTGAAAAGTGTATTAGTGGTTAGAAAATTCTGCAGACACGACAAGGTTCAGTTAAAAGGAAGGAGGGGAAGCAAGCAGAAAGAGAGAGACAGAGATTGAGTGAAAGTCAGAGGGAAGATGAAAGGGGTTTTCTTCTATCCCTCCATCGACCCTGGGGCTGGATTGATAGCTGTCACCTGCTGAGACAGGTCTCCTCCTCAAGGGCCACAGGTAAAGGTATGACTACTGACAAGTGTGGGTGTATATAATTAAAAAAAAAAACTGGATGAGTCGACTGGTTGGATCAATATACTGTGACCTACGAAAAGAGATTTCAGAGTCATCATCAGATTAATTGCACAGAATGATAATAACGTGATTCTGCATGGATACAGCGAGACAAGTGTTGCAGATACTAACATGGAACTAAAAGCAAAGTTCCACTTTACTGGAGACACTGATCGTAATGCTTGTAACTGCTGGCTTGAATGGACAAACTGCACTCATGCTCATGAGTGTGTATGTGCAGAAAAGACAGCGAATTAACGGTACATTGATGTACCGGGAGGCTGTAAGTTGCTACATTCACAGCTGGGCAGAGGACAGCAGTGAGTCCTTATGTGTCTAATGAAAATAGAAAACCAGTGAACACACAAACCAAGACACGACAATGTGCATGCACACACATACACACACACACGTCTGTTCTACTATCTGAAGTGTTTTGCCAGAAAAAAAACATTCACATGGTGAAAGTTAATTAGGTTGCTTTATTCACTGAATTGTCTCTGCTTCTTTGCAGTTAATTGCTGATTTTGTTAGATAACGGTGTCCAAAGCCTTGGATGAAAAGTTCTATCTTTCCAGTTACCATCTTTTAGCCCACTCCGCCTTTGAAATGTTAGGATTAAGTGTGAAAAACATGCAAGTGTTAAATTATAAATTGTTCTAGGCATTTTCTTTACACTGTATTCTTTTTGTGTCTACAGTCTTAAAATCAAACCACATTAGACTCTTCATTAGAGGTAAGTAATACAGGAAGGTTTAGTGTTAATAATTCAAAATAATTCTGTCTAAAATTTAAACTCACTATTTATCCAGTAAATCTAAAGCCTTTTCAGATTTTTTCACTATGTTTTCTTTTACACCTACTGTACCACTTGCTTGACTTCAGAGTGGCTGCATGCATCTGTACCCTAAATTATTAAAGCTGCATCAACAAATATTTAACCCAAACCTGCAGTTCCCCCCAGTTCTACAAAGCGCTCTTTTAGTTAAACCATTTCGTAGCATTGTTATGGTGGGTTGTGGGGTTTGCCACTAATTTTACCGCGTTGGTTCACTTTCACCACTTTCATCAACCTCTTTCCAGCCACATCAGGCAGCTGTGTTCAGCAACAAATCTATGATGAAGAGACTGTACACTACATGTCCAGCAACTGGCAGACAAAGTTAGCAGCTAACTAGTAGTTGAGCATATAGCAGCAAAAGAGCCCGGTTTTCCTCAGTTAGTGGAGACCTAAACAGAGCTAATTGAAAGTGAATTATAGACTTACATTCTTCAGTTGGCCAAAAAAAAAGAAAAGAATTATGTGCTGTGTCTGCTGAATAAAGGAAAGTCGTCAGCCAACGTTTTAAGGTAATATGTTATTGTTTTGGTAGGAGCTTATTCATCCAGCGGCAACAAAAAATCAATTAATGCTGCTTTAAATCTGTTTGGCTAAATGTGTTGTTGTTTGTTCAAACGGAAAAAGAGTATAGAGCAGAGAATATAATAACTTAACAGAGTAAACAGAGACAGATAGACACAGTAACCACTTACTGTACCAACCTTGTTAGGGAGTGTAAATTAAACACGACTGTCTGTGTGTTTGAATCTTTGTGTGCCAGTCAAACAGTCAAACATCTTGAGTTCCCTGCTGTGCTGGAATTTCCATCGCTGACACTCTCACGGGAAGCCGTCTCGCTTTAGACCTGACAGGGAACTTGAGGCAACGCATGCTTATATTCTCATGTACCGTTATACAGAATTCTGTTTTATTCAATTTTGATCTATTTTCTCTTTGTTTCCTTTATCTCCTCCCTTGTGGTCTCCCCCATCTCCCCCTCTCCTCTCGGCTTTCCTTTCTGTGATGATGATGGTTCAGGTCTGTTTCCTTCACGGTTCCCCTAAACAATTCAGCACTAATGGAAATCTTCAATATTGCATGTTGAAGCCCTCTGGTGTTGATGGCCTGTTGTTGGACATTGGTATATATGAGAGGAGGTCAGCAGGAGCAGTGGAAAGACCTTGCTGTGGTGTAAATAAATGAAAAGAGAAAAGAGAAAAGAAGCGGAACTTAGTGAATGTTCTAACTGTACGTTTGTAGGCTAATAAATAATCAGAGCCAGCATGTTGGAAAGAACAGATAGGACATAGTTGATAAGTTTCCTGAGTCGTCAACAGAGGGTAAGACAGTTACAGTGCAATTTCATAATGAATAAGTGAATTAACACAAACATAAATAACAAATAGCAAATGAGAGATTTTTGCATTCCAAATCAACACAAGCTATCCCATCCATCAAATGCAACCGATTTAAAGTTCTAACAATTCACCAGAAAAAGTGTGATGATTTTTCCCCACGGAAATATTTTGCAGCCTTTGCACAGGCAAATGGTGTTCATCAGGTTCCATTTAATTCATCACTGTGTAATGTTTTTTGGCTGAACACGGTCCTACGAATGAAAAGCCTTTAGCTCTGTGAACGTGGCCTCGGTTTTGCAGTCCAACTCCAGCAGGCGAAAGAAGCAGCCTGAGGGAATCCTGTTTACTCGCGCTCTAACTCCCTACAGCTCGCTGTATACGGATGCAACTGGATTATGCAAAATATCTTTTCACACACCTCTGGGTGAAGAAAGACAGAAATAGAGATCATTGGCATGAAAGGGCTTTATCTTTTGTTTTTCGCTCCTCTAAGAAGGTTACTGTCCCAGAGCTTTGTGGTTTTGTGGCCATGAGTTTAAACTGACACAACCACCTTCATTCCCTGAGAATGTGGATGTCACAGGTGATGCAGTGCAAACCTTGTCCCATATGTCCCAAACTGGATGGAAAAAGTAAATAGGATTCGGTGACCTTTAAACTCTTAGTTTGTGCTAACACAATGTCTACTGACTTGGCCTGTCGTCAAGCTTTGGCACCAGACCTTGGACATGCAGCAAATCTCTTATTCCCCCCCCCCCAATACTGCTGCTCTTTTGCCAACTCATCCGCCTCTGTTGCCTTTCATCCGCCTCTTCCGGAATATCTCCCATCTTTCCATTTATCCCCGCCCTATCCTGATCCTCCCCTCCCCCACCCGACAACCTCTGGCCTCATTATTGGAAAGCTTTAGCATGCACAATGGTGCATGTTCACAAACTGTAGCAGAGTGTAAGCATCAAACAGCATCGTAATAGAGAGAGACAAAAGAGGAAGGGAAAATGAGAGTGAGTGAATGAGCAAGAAAGAGAGAGAGGTCTGAGGCACTGGGCCTGCCTCTGTGCAACAAGCCCCAGGGACAGACCTATTTCCTCCCATTAAAGACTATTTGCTGTGATCCAAGATTTAAAAGGTACTGCAGGAAACACACATACTGTAATACAGCTCAGCTTTCTGGTAAAATGCTTTTTGCAGTGTTTTGGACCAAAACATAACACATTAAAGGCAATATGACAGGGAGAGCTTCTATTTGAAATTTAAAAAAGGGTTATGGGAGGTTCGTTACACATTGTATTTGGCTACAAGAGTTAAAATTGCCTGTACACAAACTGTGAACAATGTGCCTTGGGTACAGAGGTTACGCTTGTAGAAGAAACATTCTACATCTCACATCCTACGAAGTATTAGCTACTACAGAAGAATGCAAAACATCTAGTCATAGCAGGAAAAGCAAGTGTCCCAGTAAGCCATGACAGGGACAGTGAGCCAGCATGCACAATAGCAGGACCCTGAAACCAAACGAGCTAAATGGATTTTAGTCAACAGTCGACAAACAATGTGGTTGAAGCATACTGTCGCCTTAAGAGTCTACAGCCACGCTAGCAGCTCTGTGAGGCTGCACAGTGCTAACCCCATCATGCTAACATGCTCAAATTGTTAAGATGCTAAAATTTAATCATCTAACAAACAGAAAGCCATCCATAACACTAAAGATCTATGTATTAATCAAGTGTTTACAAGATTACGTTTCAGCCATATTGAGAAAGAGCCAAGCTTTCTCATCTTTTTTTCAAAGTTTCTTTGATCAGCAGCTCACTACAGTTGTTGGTGTGCTTTACTTCTCCTTCATAGACAGATACACTTTACATAACCATCGGCCCAACACACTGTCTGCCGAGCCATCAAAACATCCACAGAGGCACAAAAGGCAAGCATCCAGATGAGCAGCCGGCCTGCCAGTCATCCACACAGACGTCCAGCCAGACAGGCAGGCTTCTATTATGTTCTGGACTGTGAATGCTGATTGCTCGCCACTGCTGCCTGTGTCAGGATTAGCCATTGTGGCCGGAGCAGAGTGGATGGGCTCAGGGCCCGAGATGACGCTGAAAACGCCCTCTGTAAGCAGCAAGGGGCTGGAGTGTATTCACTGCAGACTGAATAAACATTTACGGTAGATATGCACAGACATCCAGGCTGGCACAGAACCACACAGGCAAGCACTTGAAATCTCACACACGCACACAAAATGACAATCAACACTGCATGTACTTAGGTGTGCATGCAAACACACAAACACACACACACACACACACACACACACACACACACACACACACAAAAGCAAACAAGTGAGAAACTACACAGCAAACAATCAGGCTACTCTTTCTGTTTCTTTCTCTCTCTGCCCATCTCCCCCCTCATCCCTCCTTCCTCAGAAAAGTGGCAGACAGGCAGCACGGCTGGACTCACGCCCCGTCAGAGTGGTCAGCGGTAACAGGATTAGCTGGGAGAGGAAGCGTGACGACAAGTCAGTTTGCTGCCACGCACTGTCATTATTGAAATACATTACACACTCAAAATGGACCTGCTGGAGCCAAACTGCTGTCGACTTAATTACTCCAAGAGCACTTTGTGGGCAGTGGCACATTTTAATAATTTCGCCTTCTTCTCACCCTGCTCCTTCCACCCACTGATTTGGGAGTGATTCAAAAACATGGGGCCCTTACTGCAGCTCTTAGCCCACTCCTTATTCACCATTCAACCCCTCATCTCCACATCTTGCACTCCATTTTTCGGTTGGTTTAATTTTCTTTCCCATGTATATGTATATATATATCAATGTATGTAACATATATAAATATGATATGAACATATTTATATAAATATGATATAAGCATATTTATAGCGTGTTTATGTGCATGTGTTGGACTGTGGGTTGGAAGGTGTGTGATATGCAGACAAACAAAATGCAACATAATACCAAAACAAACGTTTGAAACTAGAAGTCGGACACACTGCGTGTGACAGCAAAACTCTACTGCTGCGTACACAGGCACACAGGCACACACACACACACACACACACACACACACACAGACCTAACCAGAGATCCCTTAGAGCAGCCATTTTTAAAAAGCATCTCTCATTTTAGGAACATCAAGCTCAAACTCAGCGCTCCTGCTGCTTTCCAGCGCACACCGTGATGCACTTTTCCTCGATTCACATCAAGTTCAATTAGCTCCTAGATCAAGTCTTACGACGAGCAAACTGTTGCGCTGGCAGCTGCACAAAGACCCCCTCCTGGTTGCCTGCTTTCTACACTTAACTTTCTCAGCAGCATCGCTCAAGGCCATATGACTTGACTCTATAAATTATGTATATGCTCATATTCTGCTACAGTTTATGTACTTTATAGACTCAAACTGTCATCAGCATCTGTGGCCACCCGTGACCAGTGAGGCGCTTGGTTGGTTATACAGTATGTCAAAAGTCCCTAGGGCTGAGAGGTTGCAAAGCTTCGAGTCCAGGTAGATAATATTACCAATAGATGTTAGCCGCAGGTGTGATGCGAGTCCTCAGAGAGGAGAGGAAAATGTGATATCCGGGTGAGGAGAGCTGACAGCCCTGCAGAGAAGGAAAAACAGGGGGAATAAAGATGGAGAGGAAAGGGAGTGAATATAGGAGGAGATGAAGACAGAGAAAATAAACAACAGAGAGTCCTAAGTACAGTCACGCAAGTATGAATTAAAATGCCAACTCTGTGCAGGAGAAACACCAGGGGGTGTGCCCACAGTGCAGGGCAGGATCGCTGCTCTATCTGTGCTGCTGAATCACACATATGCGCATGCAAACAAATGTGCACGAGCACACATGCAGGGAAGCTGTCACATTACATTAACCGTGCAGTGCTTCATTTGCATCATGTAGATCGACTACATATATGGTTATTACCCCTCAAGAACAGATATAGCTGTGATGTCTTTTCAAACAGCACAGTTCAACAAAGTTTCCTCTCTGCTTTTTCCCTCAGTGTAAAGTAAAGGCTTCTAAATTTTACAACTACACACCTGCATGCAACACTCTCCCACTGAAACTAATAAATGAAATTTGTCTGGGCAAAGTGTGGCGTCTAAGTAAATAGCCGAGGAAACACAAACACGGAATCCCCTCTTTTTCCCATAAGGCAGCACAGCGGGGCACATATGGTAAAGTAGATTTATCTCATTCTAAGAAGTGCATTTATCTACTTTAGAAGTCTCTCTGGATAAGATAAATGATATCACCTGCGGTCACAAGGGAAATTAAATAGATTATTTTCTTAGTATGCTGCAGTGCAGATGGCACAGGAGCCTCGACTTCCAATTGTGTGTTTGTGCAATCAATGCTCAAGTGGTGGATTACTAGATTTTTTTTTTTACTTTACCTTTGCTTGCACAGTCCAGCTACTGTATATCATAGCTTAAGTGGCACAATGCAGGTGCTGTAGGCTTGCCTGTGATACTCCAACACTTCATTGTATTTATTCCATCCTCAACAGTTTTTTTTTTTATTCACTCTTCATTTTGGCAGTAGTTTATGGTGGAGTCGCACACCAGTTATATAAACAGACTTAACAAATTGACAGGGCCAAAAGAAAAATGTGTGATCAGGTGAATGGCAAGAAGCCTTGAAAGTGTGAGGTGCAAACTGGGTCCAGGAAGAGCGCTGACTGTGAAATAACACAAACAGCCAAATGTGCAAAGTTGGAATCAAGTACGCACATGCATATGTAAAATGCACTGCAAAGACTTGGATATAACAAGCGAGAATAAATGCATATGAGATGTTCA